GAATTTCTATTTACAAAACTTACTGAAATGCAGGAAGGCAAGCAAAACGTGAACACTGGTGTTTGAAGGGACTGGCCTGATCCAGTAGGTTGTGATAGCCACATCTTATCAGACATTTGAAAAAGCATAAGAAGTATTTATAAGCCACAAGACACGTTCTTTTTTCCCAGTCTCCAAGATTTTAAGAGTTAGTTTTATTCATTTATTTTTTTTCCAGCATTGTAGCTTGTCTGAGATTTTAGAATGTCTATTGAGGAAATCTTGTAATGCTCTTGTAAATCTTATACTTTCTCTCAATAAGTCTTTAATAGAATCACAGAATGGCCTGGGTTGAAAAGGACCACAATGCTCATCTAGTTTCAACCCCCTGCTGTGTGCAGGGTCACCAACCAGCAGACCAGGCTGCCCAGAGCCACATCCAGCCTGGCCTTGAATGCCTCCAGGGATGGGGCATCCACAGCCTCTCTGGGCAACCTGTTCCAGTGTGTCACCACCCTCTGAGTGAAAAACTTCCTCCTAACATCTAACCTAAATCCCTTCTGTCTCTGTTTAAAATTCTTCCCCCTTGTCCTATCACTATCCACCTCATAAACAGTCTTTCCCCCTCCTGTTTCTACGCTCCCTTCAAGTATTGGAAGTCCACAATGAGGTCTCCTCGGAGCCTTCTCTTATCCAAGCCAAACAAGCCCAGTTCCCTCAACCTTTCTTCATAGGAGAGGTTCTCTAGCCTGCTGATCATCTCAGTGCCCTCCTCCAAGAGTTCCGCATCTTTCCCATAGTGGGGGCTCCAGCAGTACTCCAGATGGGGCCTCACAAGAGCTGAGCAGAGGGGGATGATCACCTCCCTCTCCCTGCTGGCCACTCCTCTTTTAACACAGCCCAGAACACAGTTGACTTTCCGGGCTGATTTTTGTCAAAATCTCATTGTTTTACTCTAGGAAAAGACTTAATTCCATGTTTTATTGCAATTTATAATCTTTCAGTATACTGCAGCATGAATTAACTTTCACAGAATCATTCATTATTTCACTTCTCAGTTTAAGGTTTCCAAATCTTGAAACTTTCTGGCTTTTTCTTTTTTAGAGGAGTAGTAAAAAGGGGTTTTGCAGGCATGGGGGTTGGAGTTCAGTAGCTTGCATAAGGCTTGATTGAAATACTGACCTTCATGAAAGGAAACTGGAACATGTGGTGGTGCTTAGTTTTTAATTTTTACAAGCTAGAAATTTGAATTAGTTAGATGACAGCTGAATAAAGATAGGGTTTTATTTTCATTTAATATAATAATTCATGTTGAATGCAACTTTTATTTTAAGATTTACAAAGTCAGAAGCTACAAAATTTCCCTTGCTACTGTGTGTAAAAGAGGTAAAGCTTAAAGTGTCCGATAACAATTTAAAATGAAATGATGAAGTGTTTTTAAAGATTTATGAGAGATTTCTTTAAAAAAAACAAACTGACCAAGCTTTCTGCAGCTGATAAAACTGCTGTAGGGAGGCATTGAAGAAACTCCACTTTTCTCATGCCATTCTGTCAGTGTCAGCTTTTATACATAAGGATGAGTCCTTGCACAAACATGAGTTAGGAAATGCAGTTCCAGTACCAGTAACAACTGTAACAGACTGCCTGTGTCTTGTGGAGGAGGTGCTATAATCTGATCTGTGTTCTTTAAGTGTCATAAAGAATCAGCAAAAACATTTACAAGATATTTAACAGCACTTTCATTTTACCTTTTACTTTTTTTCCTTTTGCTTTTCATTACATACAGTGTTTAAATTTAGACTCTGATTAGCTAATTTATTCTTGAAAACAGATTTTTGCTTTTTGACTTGGCTACATTGTAATGCAATAAGTTTAACTATGCTCAGTTCTCTTTATTTTTAAAGTATTTTGCACAGTACATTTAGAAGTGGTGTAGTTTTTATTCCCTAACTTTTCTCAGCAGTATACAGTATGGTGGTTTTATATGCCTGCCTATCTAAGTTAGTTTAACTCATTTACTTAGGTAACAAACTTAGCTCATTTCCTCATAGAGGTATTGTACTAGCACAGTGCTCAACCTAAGGATATCATTTCAGAGAGGGAGTCTCAGCAGTGTGCTGACTTTCCCAGTGCTTTTCTTCTTCCACAGACTGAAAATGATTCTTTTACAAGTCTCTGTGCAACTTGTGCAAATCTACGCTTGCCTAGAGCTTTCCCTCTGCACCCCCTCCCATTTCTGCCCCCGCTCCCTTGGTGGAGCCTTTACACTTTCTAGCTGAAAAAGGATCTGTATTTCCATTTTATTTGTTCTATTAAAAAAAAAAACAAAAAGCTTTAATCTTGTTTTTGTTTATTTCCTAAAGAGTAATGAATGAGGAAGAGTTCTATTTACCCTTCTGTCTTTTCAGTAAGCACACAAAGAGGAAATAGAGCAGGTAGTGTTTATATGAACAACTTCAATTTAATTTTAACCTATAATCGGATTAACATGATTTGGGGTGCATAGTCTCAGAGGATGCTGTATAAGTAGTGTTTCACGAGGTTGCCATTCTAGGGATTGTCAGAAATTCTATATCAGCAGCTGTGGACAGTTATTTAGAAGTAAGGATTAACTTAATTAGAGAGGTATGCTAGGTTTTAAAAGGCCAGTACCCAAATAGGACTTCTGTGTTTGATGGCTTCATGAAAACTCCTGAGCCAAGCTGGAGAGATGAATCAGCAATTGTAGGTCTGTGGGGTGACTGTGTGCAGTAGTGTGGGTGGCTGGGGGAGAAGCAAGGTGGGAAATGGTGGGGATGGAAATTGTGCTCATATGCTCATTCCAGCCCTCGAGTTGTCCTGCAGCTGAATGTGTGGAGGACTTCTGAGCCTTAGCTTTCATTATACCACCATGTACAGAGCAAAGCGATATTTCAGTGTGATTCTTTGATACGGTTTGCAAACATGTACTTATTTATCCTAGAGGAAAATAAAAATAAAAAAACGCGGGGGGAACTGTGGGGGGGAGGAAAGTGATGGTATTTAATTATTAGCTGTGTTTTCTATACAGAGGAGGAATTATAAGGCTTCCCAGAGCACTGATATTAAGTTATATTAAGAAGATCTAGAGTTCTTGTTAAAAGCCCCACCCCCTCCACTACTGGTAACATTTATAGTTTTGTTATTTGGAGTAAACAACGAAAAAGACTGTAAATAAGAGTTGCCTAAATACTCACTCTAATCTCTGAATAGTTATGGAAGATTCAGTTTTAATTAAGGCTTTTCATAATTGCCAATGCATCTGTTAAGTATTATGTTCTTTTTGGACACAGTAAACTATAGGCTTACGTACAGAAGGTAGGATCAGAAATTTGCAAAGTGTACAGGCTCTAAGCAAGTTAGTTTTATGAGAAATCATTATTTGAAATGCAAATCTCATGTTAGGATTTACAGGGTAAAGCTAGTTGAGCAGAATGAGTTTAGTGCACGCAGAGCAGTTTGCTCTGCACTTCCTGGAAGATCTTATTACTTAGGTAATTATGACAAACAGGGTTGCAGTTTCTTTATCTGTGGACCGAGCTCTAAAATATTGTAAGTGTGTGGCTTAGAAGAGTTGATAACAATTTAGACTTCCATCTGCTTAACAGTAAAATTTTGGCTGTTAATAGCTAGCAGCTTTTAGTGATCAGAGGAGAAAGTTAATTCTTCTTAGGGACGTGAAAAGGTGAGTAGATTGGTTCTTGTATTTTACTGCTGTGCAAGTTAATATAATGTTAAAAAGTTTAGAATTTGCTAGTGTTAAAGCTTTTACTGTAGTATTATAGAAGTTTTTTTCAGCTTTGCTAAACTGAGCAAAAACTATTTTTCAAAATATATGTATTTGTATATGTAGATAAGTCATGGTGTTTTGCATGTGTTGGTGTCATTAGGAATGAAAGCTATAAAAAAGAATTGCAGTTATAATACCAGCAAATAGAGAAATCCCATTTAGGCTCTCAGCATGCTTTGAGGTTGATACAGGTGTCTTGTTTAATGCTATTTAACAATAACAACAACAACAACAAAAAAAGGAGAATCCACAGTTTCAGGGACTTTTATAGAACTAGATCAGAAATTGTAACTGAAGGAGTATGAGATTTAACAAGCAGTTTCATAGTAATGATCTGAACAGTCAAACTGAAGGAGGGAGTGTCTGGGAAAATAAGACTTGCCTGAAGCAGAAGCAACAGGTCTGTCTAGAAAAAGATGTCAAGCAAGTAATATTACATTACCACTCTGGAGCAAGGCATGTTACTTGCTCCAGCAAATGCAAACTAAGCAGCAAATGCACTGCAGATACAGGTGAGAAAACAGGAGGGGTGTGGAGGCTGGGAGGAGATAGGAGAAAGTTTTTGGGCTATTTTTCAACAAAACTTTCTGGTTTACCTCAAGATCTTAATAGCAAGCTTTTCTATAAGTAAAATTTCAAGTTTGTAATATTTCAGTGTTTTCTGTAGGTTATTTAGTCTAGATGGTTGAAAACAATATTTGATGTTTTTAAAAAATAGTAGTTTGTTAATAATAAGTGTGCAGTTCTCTACCTACTTTAAAGCACATAGCTTAACTTAGAGAACAAAGAAGAGCATGCAGCGTATCCGAGTGATAGAAACTCTGCACTGCTTTTAGTATTTTTCACGTTTTTCTTCCTTCATATTTGAGTCAGTCTGCTGGCCTGATTTACCAGTGCAGCTGGTGGCCATAGATCTGTGGAGGAGTGGCTCTTCTCTTCCACATCCACGCAAACAGCAAGGTAGCGTAGGCACCTCTTTGGCAGCTGCTTACCACAGGTGGATTTTTTCTCACTGAGGTGACTGTGGCCCATGTTACTGTTGCTTTGAGGTGGGAGGAAAAATTGCAAGGAAGGTGACTTACTGCAGTTAAGAACTGGGTATCTAATGTTTTTAATGAATCTGCTAAGCTACTGGCAGATAAATATGATAACAAAAGATGGAAATCTACCCAAATTAAAGAACTGATGCAACAGAATCAGAGGAAGTGTCTGAAATGTTCACATGTAAGCGTTCCAGTGTTTTGACTTTATATCAGCTGACATAGGGACTTTCAGGATTATTCTGAGGATAATTTGCATTATTTTCAATATCATTAAATGAAACATTCGGGTCAGTTGCTATAGAGATTAGATGAAATTCAGTTACATTTAGCGTTGTTCATACTTGAATTATTATTTAGACAAAAATGGAAAGACAAAACCAACATTTATTCTCATAGATGTTTGCCTTGAGTGAAACTAAGGATTGTTCTTTCCTTTTTTTTTTTTTTTTTTTAATATGGCATTATTGTGCTGCTCTTTGAATCTCTTTGATCTGAAATTAGATAACAGCTTAACCATTATGACTAGCTAAATGGCAGAGCTCAAATTAGAATCTAGTGATTTCAGACATTAATTCCTGCAGTTGTCCCTTTTAGATAATGGTTGAACGTGTTGACCAGAGTGGATGTAGCACACACGGACCACTGATAACATAGAAGTTACTAACAAATTAGTTTTCTTTGTAGCCTCGTGTGTTTTTTTCACCACTACTTTGTCTTAGGGCTTGTAATTTATAAACAAAGAAAACAATTTTAATTGCTACTAATTATTTTTCCATTACGTTGGTCTTATTACTGATTTTCAATGTTTCTTATGATGCAGTAATATGGAGTCAGCCTTAAGTGTACTTTTAGGGATTTTCTTTTCTGGTGGTGCATTAGAAATGACAATAAAATGATTACAATTAAATGATTTTTATTTTAAATCTGGTCTTATCCTCTGGCTTCTGATTCAGGTGATTTAGGATTTAGGATTCCTTAGGATTTAGGAAGTATCTAACTGAGAGTAAATGTAGATGGTTTAGCTATTTGTCATGTCACTGGTCATGGTGGCCAGTGCCAAAAAGTGTCACTGAATGAACACCAGAGATTGTTGCATACATTTAGAAGAAGACAGTTAGTATGATAAATAGAGATTTCAGAATGGCTGATCTTGGGGTGCTGTAATGTAAGGGTCAGAAGTGAAAAATGTTGGATATAATTACTGTTGGGGTTGAGCCAGCACCGGGTTTGTATGCATTAACTCTTTACTCTTGTAGCAACAGTCAAATCACAGCTCAGACATTTGGCTTATAGGTGAGCTTCATTTTTTTTTTTTTCAGAAACAGTAAAAGCCACTTACATTTGCTCATTTATTGAAACCCTCTTCTTGTGGTGCTAAAGGTTGAAAATACAGAGCTTTGATATAGAAAATTGCTTCTAATAATGAGGAGCAGGCAAATCTCAGATTTCCAGTGTCTGAGATTTGTTTGGTTTTGTTCCCATGTGTATTACCTTGTTTTAGTAAAGAACCTTAAGAAAAAATTGAATAAATGAGAACCTCAGAAATCCACATCTCCTATCAGGAATAGGAACAATTTGTTAGTTTTTGTATTACAAAGCCGAATTTCTGATAGTGTGGAGTTTTGTTTGCATGGTGTAACATGTTTCACTGTTTTATAATATATTTTCTGTCTGGTTGGGTGGGGTATAACACACGTGATTTCATCTGTCTTTCAGCTGGAAAAGTAGAGGTCTCAACAAATTGCAGATCATGGCTTCTGATGCTAGTCATATGCTTGAAGCAGCTTTGGAGCAGATGGATGACATAATTGCAGGTATAAATACAGCATTATTTACAACAGATTATTTTTATATTTAACCTTGTTCATCTTTTTACCTCCTATGATTTTTTCTGTTTTTAATTATTTGTCTCAGTTTGCCAAGTTCCCTGTGACACACAAGTTTTTATGGTTCAGTATTTATGTGAAGAAAATTTTAAGTAATATAACCGAAGAAAGCGTATAATTCTACCTCAGACATATAACTATGGAAATAAGAGATGTAATTTGTTCTAGTGTTATATGGTAACTTAAAGAAATCCTATTTCCTGTTGTTACTTTGAATTTTGTTGAAATTTTGTAGAAAATAATTACAATGACTAGTTTGAAAATTTACATTTATAGTTTGCTTGGTCATTTAGTTTACTGTAAAATAGTATATGCTAGATTTTTGTTTCTTTGTTTTTGTATTTCTGTGTGTCTGTTGAAAAACGTGATGTTTTCACCCATGTATTCAGTTATCTGGATAGTATATATCTGTATCTTACATTAGAATGTATTTATAAACCATGTAGTTTTCTGTGTGTGTGTGTGTATGTATAAAAGAACTTATTCATGATAATGTTTACGGCCTAATAATTTAGAATGTATAGCTCTTTTTGTTAGCATTCATATCCAGGAGTGAAATTAGAACTTTATTTTTACATAGTTTTCTGCCAGAAAGGGGTATGATGCAAGACAGAATTTGCTGTCTTTTGATTCTCTTATGGTAACGCAATTAAAACTTCTTGTCTCAACATTGCTGCATCTAAGAAGAGAAGGTAATTCTATGGTTAGCACTCAGTACCCTTGGGGTTTGTGGTCACACAGCGTTCAGCATGAGCTCCTGGAAGAGGCATCTGGGTAGGGCTGTGATCTCACTTTTGCAGGATGGAAAATCATCTACTAAATGTTTTCAAATTTAAATAATGACGCCCATGCTGTGCCTTTTGTAAAGCTAATGCTTTAAAAGAGCTGAAGCAACACTGAGGCCCGTGTGCTCCTAAATTATCTGCATACATCTGGATATTTTTATTTTTTCTTTTCTTTCTTCTGAGATAATTGATTCATTTCCCAACATGCAGCGGTGATAACATTTGATGAATGTATCTTTCATTTTTCTGAATATTTTCTCTTTTCTTAGGATAGGTTTTCTTCAGAAAATCTTCCAAGAGAACAAAGAAGTTTAAATAGGAGATTTCTAACTTTCTAAGATTACATACTGACTTTCTCCCAGGAGTTGTGGTATGTTTTCTTCTGACGGAAGGTGTTGGAAAAGTTAACATGATTTTGATGATTTTCAGACTTCTTCCTAAGATTTTCATCAATTTCACTCTTCTGTGTTGGAAGCAAGCTCCAAAAAAATATTTCAAGTTGTTTAGTATTTCCTCATGTGATCGATATGATGCCCTTAAACGACAAAGAGGTCTACATCCTTGAATATGTTGAATATATGTTGTTTGGAGAACTTTTGTTTTGCCTGAAGATACCATTGCGTATTCCCTTCCAAGACATACTAGCTACGTAGTTTTTTCACAAAGATAACATTGCTACTCAGTAGCATTTCCATGACTAGCAGCTCTGTAAAACCATTGCTGCAAGGTCAGTTCTGGGTAATATAATAGTTGTTTACTTTTCTGTTTGTTTGTTTGTTTGTTTTCCCCAATGGTATTGAAAGGTAATCCATTAAATATATGACAATACATGACAGCATGGCAATATTTGACTGTATTAAATAATCACATACTTCTACTAGTTTGATAGAAAAATAATTGAGCTAGATTTCCCTTTTTTTTTTTTTTTTTTTTTTTAATTTTCTTTCCCCCATTCCTTTTAAAACCCCTAACTTTTTAGGGTTTCATCCTGATAAATATGCTCTAGAATTACATAGTTCCAGGCTGCCTACCAGCATTACTTTTATACCCTCTGCTAAGCTGTCATGATTATGGAGATAATGATACAGAGAAGCAAAACACGTGATGTAAGAAATAATCTGCATTTATCAGTGGGTTGCACACCCCATTCACAGCTGTTTTGTAGTGGTGTTGTTGCCCATAAAGATTTAGACATGCTTTTCATATGTGGAGTTAGTTTGTAAGAAATAATCTGTTTCAGTTGGTGCTTTGCACATCTCATTCACAGCTGTTTTTATAGAATCAGAAAATGGCTTGAGTTGGAAGGGACCTTATGGGCCATCCAGTTCCAATCCCCTTTTCATCCACAAAGACCCCCAAGCCTTTCCCCTCAGGGCTGCTCTTAGTAAGTTCTCTTCCCAGTTTGTACTCATACTTGAGATTGCCTCAACTAGGTGGTGTTGATTCCCAGACTAAACCAAAAAGACTTAGATGTGCTAGTTATATGTTTCCACAGTGTTGTGAGTAAATTGACAGCTTCAGGAGAGTTGACTTTGACTTCACATTACTTAATTTTTTTTCTAATTTCCAGTTATATTCAGTATTATGTGGAACATAGGATAATATTAAGGTATATAATGGTGAAGAAATAAGATTTCCAGTCACGCATTGTCAGATCTCATCAATGTTAATTGATTTGATTTCAGAATGTTAACTGAATTGATGTGATTTCAGAATATCTACCCATACCAACCAAAAAATATTACTTTGTTCCTTTATTTTTACTTGTAACACAAAACTCAAATAGTTTGGAGAATTGTTTATGTTAATTATTGTTTTCCATTACTAGAATTAGGAAAGTGATTTTAAGATAGGATAACTGAAGTTTTTTCTGGTCATTCTTTTCCAGCTAATGTTCTGTGTGTTCCAGAACTGCTTATCACATATTCTGGTATGATTGAGAGACTGAATATGTCTGCTGGAGCCTGTACTTGGATACTGGTGATTATCCCAATTTGCCTCAAATTGAGGAACATGGTTACTATCCAAGTTTGATTCTCTCTAATTCAATCCACTAGGCTTCTGTATGCAATCTGGGGAGGGTCTGGAAAACAGGAATATTCTCTTAAATGTAGTGAGAGAGGAAATAATGTACAGAACTCCTTCAGGGTGGGGACTGTTAATAAACAAACAAGAATTTTTCTAACTGCAGATTTATAAATACTATGTGATGCAAATATTGGAGAAATTATCTGCACCAACATAGGTGCTTTTAGAGTAGTCTAGAAACAGCAAAAGTCAGCTGTTCTGAGCTATTTCATCAGACTGGAGATAATAAAAATCATCTGCTGAAAGTTTTTTCAGGTCATGGATCCATGGTGTCTGGGCAGCACTGAATTCAAAGCCTAAGCCTAAATTTCATGACTATGGAAAAGTAGTTGGTAAAAGAGGTATCCCTTAGAATAAGGCCTGAATGGGTACTAGGAAGAGCTATGTTTTCCTTGTGACCTCAGAAACCTTTGCTTCAGGCATAAAATGATCATTAATCATTGCTTCAGGGAACTGAAAAGTCTAGAGGTGTTTAACTTTTGAAGTTTGAGTATGGGAGGTGTGTACATGTGTATGTATACAAATATACATTTAGATATATATGTATACACATGCAAGTAAAAAAATTTTTTTAGTAAGAAAACCATAAATTCTTATAATAGCTGAAGTTATTACAGCATAAGGCCCTGTTCTAACATTTTGAGGAAAGAACTGGGCATGCAAACACAATACAAATATTTACAGATTTGTAATCCTAGTTTTAGCCTTCTTAATTGTGGAAGTAAAAGCACTTACTTCAAATGGTAGCATACCTATTGGATGATTCTGGTTAATGGAAATAAAAAGTCTTAAGTAGATTGTGCATCTCAGTGCAATACAAAATATATTAGAGTTTAGAGTGCATGAGAGTAGGATTGTAAAACAAGATTAACAAATTAAATTTCTTTGGGCTTGATCAAATTTGACAGATAAGTGAGTGTTCCCAAGTCTTTAATGCTTCAGTACATCTTTACTGATACCCACCCTCTTAGCTATATAAATTAGGCATGCTAAATGATTACCCCTATTTGGCTAAAATAGCAAAAAGGACTAATGTGATTGTCAATGAACATGACTTATCCATTAGCCAGAATGCTTTGCACTTGAAACAGAGGGAGTTTTTAAAGGAAGCATTCATATGTCAAATCTGTTTACGTACTCTTTACTTGTAGAGCACATTTATGACATTGTGTCCATCTGTGTCTTGCCCAAGTCATTACTTTCTCATTTCTTTGGCTTGTACCCCATCCATTAAAATGTGTTTCTCCACAGGATTATAAACTTCGTTTAATTTTTCTTTTCAATAAATCATAATGAATTAAAATAGTTTTTATTTTACTTTAGTTTTTCAAAATATTTCTGTCTAATTTGGACATGCATTTTTTTTTTTTTTTGTGAACAACTGTCATAAGTGTAAAGTGTAAAAATTAATGTCACAATACTATAATCCTCCGTAGATCCAGAATCTCTTTAAATTCAGTGGTTAATCAGTGTAATTACTGTAATTTTAACAGAAGCTCCAGCAGTTATTACTTAATGAAAAATAATGAATAATGCAAGTGTATTATCACATGGGTGTGTACCAATATTTCAGTATTAGTACTGAAAGATTAACGGACCAAAGTAACTCTAAAAGTTTGTTAGTATTTTAATTCCCTTCTCTCCAAGGGCAGTCCACTCGCATTCAGCCATCACCTTGGCTGTGTACTACAACTTCTGACCCATCTTAATTGGAGTACAGAAATGAAAGAGCTCAAGCTCCAGAGCTATGCGATCTTACTTGGTGTGTGTTGGATTACCAAATGAGCTCTAGTTAGGTGATCAGAAATTGGATTGAAAATGCAGAAATTGACAAAAAATACTGATACATGTTTTTGAACCCCTTTGAGTGGATTTTAGGTTTTGTAGAGTGAGGTTTTCACTGAGTTTCTACTTAAATAGTAGAAAATGAAAGATTTCTTAATGACCTTATGCTTCACCCATGAACAATCAGGTATTCACTCAGAGGATTCATTCAGAATGTAAGCAGTAGTCATGCAGCACTTTAAATGAAGAAGATAGAATTCTCTGTTCTGC